GCAAGGAAGAGGAGGAGGAGGAGGAGGAGGAGGAGGAGGAGGAGGAGGAGGAGGAGGAGCAGGAGGAGGAGCAGGAGGAGGAGAAGGAGGAGCAGGAGGAGGAGGAGGAGGAGCAGGAGGAGGAGCAGGAGGAGGAGGAGGAGAAGGACTAATACAATGACTCTTCTTGACGCCCTCCTGGGGCCTCTTGGGGGTTTCCTGGGAGCCTCTCTGGGGCCTCTGAGGGGCCTCTTGGAGGTCTCCTGGGCCTCTTGGAGGTCTCCTGGGGGACCTCGGCCTTCGGAGGCCGTCTTGGGGCTTGGAGGTCTCTGGGGCCGTCTTGCGGGCCTCCTGGGGGCAGTCTTGGGGTCGTCTTGGGGCCGTCGTAGGGCTCTCTTGGGTCGTCTTGCGGGCCTGTTAGGGGGCCTCTTGGGCTGTCATTCGGCGATCTTGGGGGCTCATTGGGGCCGTCTTGGAGCGTCGGAAGCCCGAAATAGCGAGAGCGCTACCATGATTGAAAGGCCTCATGCACTTCAAGAGTTCTGGTCTCCTGGAGGTCCTCTGGGAGCCTCTTGGGGCGCCTTGGGGCCACATCTTGGTTGTCTTGGAGGTGTCTTGGGACCGTTATGGATGCCATGCAGGGCCGTCTTGGCCGTTTTGGATGCATCTTGCAGGCTATCCTTGCCCGTCTTGGAGGCATCTTGGAGGCCACCTGTGGCCATCTTGGCTGCACCCTTGGGACGATTTGTTGTGCACGTTGCGGTCTGTGTGCGGCTCTCCAGGCGGCCGGCAGGATCGGCCGAAGGCCCATTGGGAACCCACTGGCAGCGGCCGGCTCAAGTCAGTAGGCGGTTTCTGTTTTGCTACCTACTCCCGTTTAATCTTTACAACCTGCCCTCCTTGATTTGCCCTGCGAGCTGCCCCTGGTGCGCCCTGGTGCGCCCTGGTGCGCCCTCAAGTCAGGAGGCGACTTCTGTTTTGCTACCTGCTCCCGTTTAATGTTACAACCTGCTGCCCTCCTTTAGTTGCCCTACGAGCTGCCCCTGGTGCACCCTCCTGTATTTCCGAACGGGGACCTTTCCAACTAATCCTGTCGTGCTTGAAGTGATTTTTGTTTCATTTGTGGCGCCGTCGCCTTGTGATTCAATCAAGTCTGGCAGCAGCCTCCCTCCTGGGTCTTGCTGACGCCTGGTGTAGTTTGTGCGCCGTCGCCACTCCGCTGCAGGTGCTTCTCTTCGCAGCCCTCGTCGGGCTCCCCTGGGGTGGCATCGCCCGCCCCCCGGGGTGCATGTGGGTAGCTTGAGCCGTTGATGGCAACAGCGTGCCCTTGACTTTCCCTCCCGCTGGCCGACTCGCGCGGCCCGCGCCATGTTGAGTGCGGCTTTAACGGCGGTCGCCCCTGCCAGCTGCTGCGGCCAAGGCCAGCACGAGGGCGGTGGCGCTCCCGCGGCGGCGTCGGCGGGCATCTCTCGGTGGAGGCCGCCCCGTGAGTACCCGCGAGCGGAAGCGCGCCCTGAACGCGGCCGGGGCGTCATCGGCTGGCGCCTGGGAGAGGACGGACCTCCCCTGAGATCTTGGCGCTGCAATTTTTTCACACCTGGCGTTCTCACCAGGTTCCGGGCCCCGGGACCCTCACAGATCGATCCGGCTCGGAAGACGGTGCAGAAAGCAAGATTCGGTCCGAGGTTCCGGGCGTGATTTTTCGCGATGTTGCAATTTTTCCGCAACGTCGGATCTCAGGGTCGTGCGGCTTCTCACGAGGGCCCGCATGCAGGCCGCCGCACGCGCCAATCGCTTCGAGGCCACCCCAGCCCGGAAGCCAGTGCCGTCAGGCTGGGCGCTCCCTCCTGGCTTCGAAGCCCGCTTCGACAGGGGCGCAGGGGAGAAGTGAGGTCGTCTGCCCCCGGCGAGGGCTCCGTCTGATGGGTCACTTTTCCACCACCGCTACCATAGGTAGGACGAGGACGGGGAGGTCCTCCTCTCCCGCTTTCTCCTCCTCCTCCTCCTCCTCCTCCTCCTCCTCCTTCCTCTCCTACCTATGGCAGTGGTGGCGGAGAATCAGCCCTATCACCGTCGGCGGAATGCGGTTCGACGGCGGCGCCAGCGGAGCTGGCACGGGCAGCGCGCAGCGGCGCCGCCGGGCCCAAGAGAGGCGGGCAGCGCGCAGCGGCGCCGCCCGGGTGCCCCTCGCGTTGGGGCCGCGGGCCCTCCTGGCTGCTGCGCTTGGTGGGCACACATTTTCCGCCGCCGCTGCCAGATGTAGGGCGGGGGAGAAGGGAGGACGAGGATGTCCCCCTCCTCCTTCTCCTCCTCCTCCTCCTCCTCCTGCTGCTCCTCCTCCTCCTCATCCTCCTCCTCCTCCTCCTCCTCCTCCTCTTCCTCCCTTTCCTACCTATGGTAGTGGTGGTGGAAAATGGGCCTATCAGCGCTTGCTCAGTGCGAGCGGTCTTTCAGTCACATTGGTCACGGACCATTCCTGTCCGCTGGAGGGGTTGGCGCGGCCACCACCCCCGTTCAAACTGCGTCTCCAGAATTGAATGCCGGATGTGATCCAGGAGCCGCCACCTCCTGCGGAGAACAAGCCTCATGAGCTGTTCCTGGCTGCGCTTGCTCCCAGCTGCCTCGCCCTTCTCGCGCCCAGGAAAGGCCCTGGCCAGATGATGCCCGACGACCTGCGCACCGACGAAACGCACGCACTCGCTCTCGGGACCGCCGACGAGTTGCTCTTCAGGCTGAGTGAGGCTGGCTATGCTGAGCGACAGCGGCGTGATGCCCCATGTGCACATTTGCCACACGACCGCGCATGTGGACATGAGGCTTGCGAGCGCGGTGAGTGGCGCGCTCTTTGCGCCTTGCTGTCCCCTCGGCCTCTCGCCCCGCCCCGCCCGCTCCCCCCCCGCCCCCTCCGCTCGGTGGGCGCGGCGCTGGGCAGCCCCTCGAACCCGGCACTTTTGTCTACGATTTTGCAGCTTTGCCCAGAGGAGGAGGAGGAGGAGGAGGAGGAGGAGGAGGAGGAGGAGGAGGAGGAGGAGGCGGAGGCGGAGGCGGAGGCGGAGGCGGAGGAGGAGGAGGAGGAGGAGGAGGAGGAGGAGGAGGAGGAGGAGGAGGAGGAGGAGGAGGAGGAGGAGGAGGAGGGAGGAGAAAAAGGAGGAGGAGGAGGAGGAGGAGGAGGAGGAAGAGGAGGAGGGGCACGATGACAACTTCACTGCTCCCAGCTCTTACCCGCGTCCGCGGCCCCCTCCGCTCGCCCACCCTAGCCGCAGTGCACGGCCAGCAGCTCGTGTAGTGGGCCCGGTCGGCCTGCCACTCCTCCGCGCCCCTCCTCGCCCTCGCTCCTCCTCGGGTCTCGCCCTCTCCCGCCGTGGCGCACGCCGCGCGAGGCATGCAGCGCGGCCCCGAACTCGGAGATCTTGGATGCGGCCGTGGGACTGTCACGGTGCCCTCGAGCCGCGTGCGTGCAGTGCCTCTCCGTGCCCCCAGCCCTGTCTTCTCCCGAGTGCGCGGGCCAGGCCCCCGCCTCCTCTTGCTCTCCATCGCCCGTTGCTTCTGCCTGCTCGCTCCCCCGCCCGCCCCCACGATCCCAGACGCCCGTTCGACCGCGTCAGCCGGACGACCGCTTCCCCGACGCGGCCTGCACGCGAGTCCGGCCAGCGACCGCCGCAGCGGATGCCTGCACTGCAGCCTCGCAGCCTCCACTGCTTTGCGAGGTTCGGCCCCAGCCCGACGCCCCACCCGTCGGACGCCCTGCCCCGGCCCGACGCCCCGCCTGCTGATTTGCACAGTTTTTTTTTTTTCTGTTCGGGAGGCGTTGGGCCTGGAATCGTTCGGGGCAGGCACTCTGGGCGTTTGTGTTCGGGGGTGGGCGGACCTAGACTCGCCTGGGGTAGGTGTCGGTGTCGCTTTCCGCGCAGACTCGCCTGGCCACGTGCCAATCTAGCGACGACTGCGCGAGAAACGCTTGCACGCGGTCGACGCAGGGAAGACGATGGCCCCGCGTGTAGTTTCAGGCCTTGAAGAGTTGTCCATGGGCCAGGGGCGAATCCGCCATCACCAGGTCGACGGATGGGCCCCCGCCCACAGGTCTCCGCGCATAGGTCCTCGCCCATGGGTTCCTGGCCATAAGTCCCCGCGCATGGGTTACCGCTTAGCAGTCCCCTTCCACAGGTCCCCGCTCCTGGGTCCCCGCCTCCGCGTGAGCGTTCTCCTCTGATGGGGCTGTGACGCAGATTGCGTGCTCGCAGGAACAAAGGTCGGGCTTCTTGGAGCTCTCTTCAAGCCCTCTTGGGGCTCTCTTGAAGCCTCTCGAGGCCCTGTTTGGTCTTTTCGGGCCCGCTTGGAGCCATATTGGGGGTGGGGTTTAAGTATGGTCTGGCGCCCGACCTCCCGACCTTGGGAACCAGACCTTACGCCCTACGTCCTGGGCCCTTTCGGGCCACTCTTGGAGCCTTCTTGTGCCCTCTTGGGTGGGCTGCTGGAGGGGTCTGCAGCACTGGCAACGGCGCCGAGACAGCCACGCCGACTGCGGCGCCGACAACTGGGCGCACAGCGTCGTCGACAGCGGCCCCGACCTCCATGCCGACCGCGGCGCCGTCAGCTACACCGACAGCTGCGCTGACTGCAGCATCGACAACCTGCGCCGACGCTTGCGCCGACGCCAACGCCGTCAGCAGCCTCGACGTCGGCATCAACGCGGGCACCCACGTCGGCCCCAACGCCTACGCCGCCGGCCTCAGTTCAGACGCCGTCACAAGCATCGGCGCCTGCCGGAACCTACGCCGATGCGCCGACCGCAGCACCGACAACAACGCTGCCTCTAGTACCGCCAGCCTCGCCGACCGCCAGGCCGTCAACGGCGCCGACTGCGGCGTGGACGGCCGTGCCAACTGCGGCGCCAACGGCCTCATCGACAGCTGCGCCGACCGCTGCTGCGCCGATAGCGGCGTTGACAGCTCCGCCTGCAGCTGCGCCGATAGCGGCGCCGACGGCGGCGTCGACGGCGGCGCCGACATTTGTGCTTGTTGCGGCACCGACAGCCTCGCAGAGAACTGCGGCGGCAGCTGTTCCCACTGCGGCGCCGACAGCCGCACCGCCGGCGGCGCGGATAGCTTCGCCGAGGGTTGCTCAGCCGCGACGCGGCCTTGAGGATCGGACGGTTTGGCGAGAGGCAGAGGCCAGAACGGCCAATGTTCAGGAGTGCTGGTCGCAAGAGGCTCAGTGCTGGCGTCCAGTGGCGTTGGGACCGAAGGGGTTCGCGACCGCCTGCGTGAGCGCTCTCATTGAATGTTTTCGTGGCAGGGGGGGGGGGAGGCGCCTCAGGCTGCCACAACGAGCCGGGGCGCGCTCGGTCGACAGGACCAGCGCGCCCCCTGGTGCCAAGGACGGCACGCATTGCCGCCATTTTACCTCTGCGAGGAGAGTCGCCTCGCCCTCGTTCCTCCTTCCCTGCTCTCCTCCTCTGGGGCCCCGCTGGTCCCGAGCCCTGGGGGGCTCGTCCTCAGCCCGCGGGCTGCCGCGTGGCCCAGTTGGCCCCCTCGGCCTCTTCTGAGTGTTTTCTCGTGAGCTGTGCCATGTGAAGTTTCTTGAAGTATTGCTGGCCCATAAGCTGTTTGGGGGGGGCGTCCAGATGCCCCTTGACGCTCTTCAAGTTCTGCACCACGCGGCGCGACGGGCCAGGACGTGGTGCGCTCCGCGCGTCGAGATGCCGTCGCTTCTCGACGTTCGCCGGCTGGCCGTTTTTTTCCTAAGCCCTCTCTGGCCTTTGATCAAGCAGTGGCGAAGCGTCATGGCTCGCCTATAGGCCTAGCAAACAATGTTCTAGGAACCGTTTGTGGTTTCCACGAGGTGCTCTTAGAACATTTCTGGCTGGGACTGTCTTGTTTGAACCCAACGGGTTTAATTTTCTAAGAACACTGTTGTTGTTCTTAGAGCATGTCTGGGTTCTAAGAGAATTTCGTGTGTAGGCCTATAGGAATGCCGGGACGGTCTCACGACGAGGACACCCCAGAGTGGCGCGAAGTGAGGAGTCCAGGCGTAGATGCCTTTGCCGCGGCGCTGGCGGCGGAGAGGCACCCCTCGACTCGGCGACGCTCCCCTCGCCAGAACGGAGGCGTGGCGCCCCTTTCTCTCGGCGGGAGGTCTCTTGAAGCGCCCTCCGCCGACGGGGGACGCCCACGCGGCCCTTCTTCGGGACACGCTGGGCCGGGCCCCCGGCAGGGTGCAGACGCATCTTGATTTGGCAGCGGGCGATTTGCAGAGTGCCCACTTGCCGGCCATGGTGCGGCCAGCGGCGCTGCTTGTGCAGAGGGCTCGCGAGGCAGCGCCGCTGCGCGCGCCGCTGCCTTTGCGGCAGCCCCGTCCTGGCCTGGAGGTCGACCCGCATGGGGGGCCAAGACGAAGACCGCTTGCAGATGCTCTGTGAACACTGGCCATGGCTGGTGCGACAATTCGACGTGCAGTTTTGCCCCCTCCTGCCACCTCCAGAGGCTTCCTGTGCTTTCCTGTTGCCTCCTGTGGCCTCCTGGAGCCTTCTGGGGCTTCCCGGAGCCTTCGGGGGCCTCCTGGAGCTTTCTCGGGCATCTGGCGTATTCATCCTTTTCCTCCTCCTGTTCCGTTCTGCTCCTCCGCCTCCTCCTCCTGCTCCCGTTCGAGACGCAGCTCCCGCTCGAGAGTAACTCCAGATGAAGCTTCAGGAGCACAATAGTGACGACAATTGCAGGTTCTGGACGACCCGCTCTCATGAATAACGTGATCTGGTGGCCCCACAGGGAAGGAACTCCCCGCTCGAGACTTCCCAACAAGTCTCCCAGAGACGAGGCTCCCGCTCGAGACGTCCTCCAAACGCATGCCCCAGGAGCCCAACAGAGGATTGCCCGCTCGGACGAGAAACATGATTCGGCGGCCACATGAGAAGGGAACTCCCGCTTCAGGCGTCCTGGCACTTCATTCAGAGACGAGGCTCCCGCTCGACACACCTCATCGTTGACGTCTTGGGAGCCCAGCCGTTATGACAAGAACATGCTCTGGATGGCCCGTTCTGATCCGCAAAAGGTCTGGTGGCTCCCTGGGGAGAGGGCGCCCCCCGCTTGAGACTTCCTCGCGACTCGCTCGTAGACAAGGCTCCCGCTCGCGAGTGCTCCTCCATGTTCATGTGGCAGGGGCCCAGAATCAAGGGAGGAAAAACCACCCAGACCGGACAATGGGCGTTTACTCAACGGCCCTGGGCGTTTACTAAGCAGCCCTGCACTGCTTGGTTCTTTATTTGGGTGCGTTTACTGAACAGCTTCGCGTGTCGGGGTGGTTATTATGGGAGTGGATTTTCTGCCCTCTACGGAAGACATGGCTGGCTGTTACAGGTTCTGGGTGGCCCAGTCGGATTCGCAACATGATATGGCGGCACCGATTTTGCGCTCCAGGGACCCCCAAAAACCTGCAGCTGCAGGTTTTGGATGACACGTCCGGATTGGCAATCCGATTTGGCGGCGCCGTGGGGAAGAGTCTCCCGCTCGAGAGTCTCTCACAACTCACTCGGGCACGACGCTCCCGCTCCAGATTTTCGTCTCGTTTGCATGTCAGGACCGCCCGAAATTGACGGCAGTTGCAAGTTCTGGATGACCCGGTCGGTTTGGTAAAGTATCTGCCGGCCCCGTGGGGAAGAGATCCTGCTCGAGACCACTTGACAAATCGCTCAGAGACGGGGTTCCCGCTCAGGAGGTCCTCAAAATGATTGCGTGAGTGCATGGATGTACGAGCGAGTGTGAGTGTGATGCTGGTGACCATTGATCACGATGGGATGATGATCGTGACGATGATGGTGTGATGGTGGTGATGCGCTCGTAACGGAGGGTGAGTTTGTGAGGGCTGCGCGGGGTGTCCAGAGAAAACAAAAGCCTTACTCATTACGTAGGATGTGGGGAGTCACCGAGCATTCAGCACGGAAGGCGGCGGATATCAGAGACCTTCGGCTTATCCCGCAACGGTGCCTTGGATGTTTGTGGGGATCCCGTGGGAGGCCGCTCAGAAACCTATCGGAGACGCTTCTGATGGTGTCTTGAGGCTTCTCGGGGGATTCTCGGGGTCTGATTTTGGCTCATGGGGCTTTGGGGGGGCGTCTCGTGGTCCTGATGGCGGTGTCGGTGGTCATCTTGGGACATTGGGCGCGAAATGTCAGTTCGAGCTCCTCCACTTGGGGCAGTCTTGGGCCGTCTTGTGGGCTGTCTGGGGGCCGTCTTTTGCCGTGTTGGGGCGCATTGGGGGGCCTTTTGAATTGCCTTGGAGCGTCGGGAGCTTGGGATGGCGATGGCCTCTTGCAGCACTCTGGGGGGCCTCGTGGGCCGTCTTGAGGCCATTTTGGGCGTCTTGCAGCCCTGTTGGGCCGTTTTGGAGGCAATTTGGTGCCGTCGCGGCCGTTCCGGAGGCACTTCGGGTTGTCTTGAAGGCCATTTTGGCGGCCCCGCAGCGCAACAAGGCCTCGGATGACGTGGTCCCCCCAGTCACCCGGGGCCATCTCCCCCCTCCCGCCCTCAAACACGCAATTTGGGACCCATTGGGGGGACTTCAGGGGGAGAGTAGTCTCACGCGCTTCGATAATCCGGAGGACCCTGATATTGTGTTGCCGTGGCACGGGTTGCCACATCCTGAAGGCGTAGATCAGTGGTGCAATGGACATAAAGTGAGGATTGATACGGACCATGCAATCAAGGTAAATATGAAGGTTAACGTGTTAGAGATCAGAGAAATTGATATAATTCGCGAGACCTTCACGGTCGTCTTTACGATGCATTTTTATCACGTCGATCCACTGCTGAAGGATTTTCGCACTGACGTGGCCTTCACCACCGCGGAAGGGCTAAATGTCGAGAGACAGTGCTTACTCATTGGGGCGTGGAAGTACTCTTCAAGTGGAACAGTGAAGGTGCTCTGCGAGAGCGGGCTGGAAAAAGAGATCAAGCCCACAGACATCAAGTCCATAAGACAACCAGATTGGGACTCCGGCGGCCCGCTGTTCAGGCCCAACTTTTCCTTTGGCAACGCCATCGGGAAGCCAAAACTCCTGCAACACGAACGCATGCTAGAGTATTGCAGCGCTGCCGGAGGTCACGTTTTCGAGAAGTACAAGTTCCAGGGCACCTTCGCGCAACGATATGAGTTGCAGGGCATGCCGTTCGACAGGCAGCTCTTGATGGTCCACATCAATAGTGAACACCCTGTCTGGCGAATGCAGTTGGCGTCTTTCAAAGACGATCGTGCGGGGTGGCTAAATAGTAAGATGAACCTTCCCACGGAGTGGCGGGTTGACGACGACATAACGGTTTGCGGCGTCAAAGTGCCTCCATGTCGGTTGATGACTTGGAAATTAGGCGACAGTTCTTTCAAGTCCTCTGCCGCGGTGCTGGTCCACGTGACCCGCGATGCTACGTTTTATATGTTCAACGTGGTGGTTGTCAACTTTGTCATCACACTCATGACAGTGTTTGCCTATGCGTGCAATCCAGATGATTTTCAGGGCAGGGCAAAAATTCAATTCACCATCCTTCTTACAACGATTGGCTACAAGATAGTTACAACGGAGTACACGCCAGTCAAATCATATTTGACTTTCTTGGACAAGTGCATGCTTGCAAACTTTCTGTTTCAGTGCGTCGCCATACTGCAAAGTTTTTGTTCCATACTGCTCGGATGCCATGTTGTTGCCGACAGGGATGGTGACTGGATGGATGGAGTCTTCAATGGCGAGTTCACGAGACGGGTTCCACCACCTCGCGAGTGCTGGCTTCGCGTGAACGTTATCGAGATGTGGTTCTCATGCATGTTTTACGGCACTTGGACTCTAGCGCATTGTGCTCTGTTTTTGTGTCATCGTTACGGGCTCACGTATAAGTTTGCGGGTACGTGGGACACGGTCTACGAAGATAACGGCATGCTCGGGAACACCGAAATTTCTTATGATCAACACCCGTATGGTGTTGGTTCTACCGGCGAGGGTTTAGCGTGCTTGGCGAGTGGTAGTCGGCCTTTGATTTAGCAGTACTCTGTTGTCTGGCTCGGCGTTCGCAATCCTGTTTCCAGTCCCTTCGCGTCGGAAAGATCGCATTGTGAGCAACTCATGTAGCAATTCAGGGGCTCACAGAAGTTGAGCAACCCCTCCATCGTAGACTCAGCACCCATCTGCACGGTGTGTAATCAAAATCGTCATTGGTATTTTCCAGTCGTGCTTGTCTAGATGCGTTCCACGATGCCTACGTAGCTTGCCCCCCAGAGCAGGCCAGATCCAAGATGGCTCCAATGTGGCCCCCAATAGCCCAAGATAGGTTTCCGAATCAGGACGCGGAGCCCTTCCCCGATATTGTTCTCGTCTTCCCCCTCTCGCCATCATCATTATCATCATCACCACCATCATCAGCATCATCATCACCACCATCAACATCATCATCATCATCGCCATCATCGTCATCATCATCACCACCATCCTCATCATCAGCACCATCATCATCATCATCATCATCATCATCATCATCATCATCAGCTCCATCATCGTCATCATCACCATCATCATCATCGTCATCGTCATCGGCATCGTCGTCGTCATCACCATCATCATTACCATCGTCATCAGAATCATCGTCAGCACCACCATCTTCATCATCATCATCAGCATCATCATCATCATCGTTATCGTCACCGTCAACGTCATCATCACCACCATCAGTATCACCATCATCACATCATCATCATCATCATCATCATCATCATCATCATCATCATCATCATCATCACCACCATTCCTCAGTGTAGAGCGCAGCGTGTTCGCGCCCCACCCGCTGGTCATGTGAACCCGTGCCGTCACCGCCATAGAGTAGACTCCATTTATATGGTCGCCTTGTGTCTATCCTTCGCTGCTATCGCGCCATTAGTGGCCCCATTGATGGCCAGGCTAGTGGCTCCTCTAATGACACACGAACGAACTTGACCCATGAACGAGACACTATTTTGACACACTGTCAGCTTATATTGCGAAGGCCTTGCGGCCAGTGCCGCCGACCCTGAAGGCCGCCGACCCTGGTCTTGGTGCCGTCTTGGGGGGCCTTTTGGGCTGGGGGCCTCCTGTGCTGTCTTGGGCCGTCTTGAAGTTCTTTTTGGCTGTCTAGGGGTCTCTTGGGGCCTCTTGGGCTGTCGTCGAAAGGCGAGAACACTAAGATTCGTCAGAACACCCAAGGGTGTTGCTTCTCGGGGCTCTCTTGGGGGTTTCTTGGACCCCTCTTGGGGGCCTCTTGTGCCGTGTTGGGACCATTCTGGGCCGTCCTGGAGTGTTTTTTCTCCGTATCGGGGGTCTCCTGGATCGTCTTGGGGGCCGGTTTTGGGGCTCTCTTGGACCGTCTTGGGGCTCTCTGGCCTCAGGGAAAATGTTGCGACAAGCCCCAAGAGGCACGCGGACACTCTCAGTAATTTAGTGAGTTGAGCATTAATTGGGGCCTGAGGACTCCTGAGGATCTGAGGACACTTCGCACGGTGTCTCGCGGTACGGTGGGGGATTTGGGTCACTTGCGAATTCGACGCGCGAACGACCCATTATGATTCACGACTGGCTCGCTATGCATGGAGACGTTTTTTTTGTCCCCGTGACCGGGAGGGGCGAGGGGGTCGGTCATGTCGCGGATCCAAGGGGGGGTGGGGGGGGCGGTCACGAGCGTTGTCGCGAATCATACACAAGCTCCACCGAAAACAGGCGACACCATCCCACCTGCGGCCGTCCACGTTGCGCTACGGCCCGTCGGGTTGGCCGCAGAGTATGCTACCCACGTGGGGGGCAGGGGATCGAGGGAGAGGAGGAGGGGACGGGGAGGAGGGGGAGGGGGAGGAGGGGAAGGAGGGGGAGGAGGTGCAGGAGGAGGAAGAGGAGGAGGTGGGTCTCGTTTGTTTTCTGGTCCAACAACGGGCTCGTGCTCCTCGTGGCCACGGCGGGGCGCGGCGTCTGCCGCGGGGGCCCGGCCGGGCCCGTGGTCGGGGCCCGCGGGGCCAGTTCTTGTGAAGATGTTGCAGGCCATGCCAGCGGCGACGCCTACATTATCAACCTCATTGTGAGATAGTGCGTGTGTGACGTGTGTGTGTGTGTGTGTGTGTGTGTGTGTGTGTATATGCACCACTCGCCGCTACTCGCCGCCGTTTGACCTCTAGGGGCCACTTTTTTTGCCCTTGCGTTAAACAGCATCATAATCACACTTGTAGCGGAGCTACCACACGATCCCCGTATCGTACCACTGCGCGCACGTCTCATCAGAGAGTGTCGCACAACCTCTCTTTACTTTCTGTACTGGCAGTTTTCCTCGCTAGGGGACTGAGCCTTGCGCCATGGCACTTCCTTCTCTTCGCTATCGGCCTAGCGCCGAAGCGGTTACGCGGTCCGAGACGAATAGTGGCTCCTACATCTACGGCGGCACGGTGAACAATTTCCGCGAGTGGGAATTCCGCACAGAGATGCGCATGAGTGCCGCATTGGCCTCAGTGGATCAAGAGACGGGTACATCACAGCAACACGTGATCACCGCAACAATCACCAAGGTTGTAGAATGCCTCGGAGGTGACGCATTCGATATTGCCATGGATATCGGTAAGGACGTGCTTCTGACTCCGGATGGGATCGATCAGCTGGTGCTGGCGATTCGTATTTTTCTTCTCCATAGAGACGCAGGAAGCGAAGATCCTGTTCCAGGTGGGGCAGAGACCATATGGACCACTGTCTCGACAGCACGGTGAGTCCATGGTCTCGTACATCTCCCGAAGGAAGCGCTGGTGGAAACTTGTCTCCAAGTTAGATCCTAAAAGATCTGGATGGGCGACGATATGCTTGGCTCCCTTCTCTTGGACCATGCAGGCCTCTCGCCTTCGGAGAACTTGATGGTGACGACATCCACAGGAAATGTGGCAACTCTCGACACTATCAAGGATGTCTTGATCCTCCAGCGCGGCCGCATACACATCCGCCAAAAAGGAGGAGGGTGATTCTGGTAAAGGCTCCAGCTCTTCGACGTGGACGCAGCCCAGACCCAGCTACCAGAGCAGGAACACGGGAAAAGGCAAGGTGCGCTTGTCCAGGCCACAACACGTCTTCTACACTGCTGATGAAGGATGGTACGAGTAGGAGGAGCATTACCCGGAGGAGCTGAGTCCTACGGATATTACGCGTCTGGCTATGCGCCAGAGCACGGCAGAGACGACGCGGCCTGGGGCGACCGCGCCTACGTCGTCGAGGGATCGTATGCCCGCTGGGCTCCCGCCAAAGATAGCAGCGAACTGGACGTCGAGGTGGTCGACGAGATGGTCAAGGCCGGATATGCAGAGGAAGAAGCGATCCAAGAGGACTTGGTAGCCAACCCTAGCACCAAAGGGGGGAGCAAAGGCAAAGGAAAGAGCGGAGGCAAGAGTTACCACTGCACGCCCTGGTCGCCCATGGGGAGGCGGCGAGGGAGGACCTTCCCTGGGAGATCGCAAGAAGCAGCTCCAGGAGATCAAGAAACGCTCGAAATTCAAGACCTGCCACGAAACGGGCCACTGGTCCGGGGGCCCTGAGTGCAAGGGCAAGCCCAGGACGGAATGCTAGCGCACGCTGGCGACACTGGCGAGCGCCATGTCCAGCTGCGCGAGGGCGATGACGAACGAAAAGTCACATCTGTCAGATCTGTTGCTGCATCAACACGAACCCTTCATCATATCATAAGGGGCAAGGGCGAGTCGATGAGGATGGATTCTGGTGTTTTTCGTTTCTGCGGTTATTTCTCTTCTCGCGTCTTGCGCCGCAACGCATGCGTATATGAGGGGGGGGGGGGGGGGGGGGGATTGTGGTGGACAGCGTTGCTTGCAGCGCAATCAGGTGGAGCGTCGCGTCTGTGAGAGCTGCGTGGGAATGACCGAGGCCACTCCAGTTCAGGGACCTCCGTAGCATCAGGAGAAGAGCTTTCAGACCTCTGTAGAGGCTGAGGGGGGCACTCTTGGGTTCATGGCTGTTCGCTCGACCCAATCTGATTCTATGACTAGTGTTTCTGATGAGGAGTTTGAGGAGGAGGAATCTGTTTCGGATCCTATCTCTGTTCCTGGTCAGGATACTGTGTTTACTTCGGGTCAGCACAAAGTGCTTAGTTCTGGTCGCGTTCTCAGGGATGCTCCAGACAACGTGGATTGGGGTCGCAAGGTGAAGAAACCAAGCGAGGATTTGGATATGTTCTCGGGGTGGGGCGATCGCAACTTTACCCGGGGGGGAGACGGACAGTTTGCGAGAGTTCAGGGGCCGAAAGTTTCCAACCGCAAAGTTTTGCATTCTTCGGGCTCTTCTATTAGCCTGAACAGGAAACCTCCGGGTCCACCGTTGACTCGCCCACGCGCTCGGGGTTGTAAGAATCTCACAGGAGTCGGTTCTAGCGCCCGCTTCGTTGTTCGCGCGCGCAAGGATTGCGGGCGCAAGACCGAGAAGGAGAGGTGCGCGGCACTGCGCTCTCCGGGTGGGTGTCCGCACGACCATGTAGATAATCGCGGCAGCACTCCAGATACTACCCGTGCGCATTAATGTCGTTGCCTGACATATCGATGAGCAACCCAGGAAGCTAGCAGAAAACAGGAAAGCAACAGCAAGGAACATTGAACGCTCCAGCAACCTCCAGGAAGCAGCAATGGAGAAGACGATTGCGGATGATCGCCGTATCACCACTGTAGGGCAAGTGGTTGCACTAAATGGTTTCACTAAACGTGCTGTTGAGGTTTGTGATGGCACAGGTGACCTTAGTACAGGTGAACTAACTTCGTTGCTTCATGACTGCGTCGCAGATGTCGCCCATCGCAGTCTCGTCGGCTTTATGGCCCCAACGCAGAATGTTTCGACCGAAGTTTCGGCTCTTTTTAGCTTCGTACGGTTGACACCTTCAAGGACGAAGGTGTTTGGTTTATTCTAGACGAGGGTTTACATTATTGTTGCCACGGTAAGGCTTGGGCTCTTAACGCAGATGATAAATGCGAGAAGTTGGGTTTCTGTCCTAA